ACAAAAAAATCACTGGATCTATATATTTGTTTAGTTAGTAAGTAATTAAGTTAAATTATTACAGTATTAAATTATTTGTCAATCGAGCCAATTTAGATTTATTTCTATATGATTCATGTACATTATATTTTTTATACGTTTTTGCTGAATGCCATTGATGTTGATCGAAATCATCACTTTTATATAATAAAAAAAAACATTTTTTTTAAATATACTGTATATTAATATTTTCAATGAATAGATAATGATAAGCTGCACAAACAAAATTTAGCAGGTCAATCAAAATCCAGGATCAGAATAGACCAGCATTGAATTTCTCCAAAAATCACACAATTTTACTAATAAAATAATAGCCCACATACTAACTAGATCAATGCTTGCATTTGGACTATGTTCAGTAAAAATTTCATTTGGATAGACATATAAAATTTATACATATGTCCAAATCAAGCACTGAACCAGATGATAGTTTTGCTGTAGTATAGATAGTTAGTATTATATTGCTTAATTGACCTATCCCCAGACCTATTCCAATCATAAATTTTGGTCAATTTGCTGAATTTGGTTGTGCAGCTAATTTATCCTTTTAAAATATTTACTGGTATATTGCTACTAATAAAGATAAAGATCGACCATCATGATTGATATTTGCATACACCGATTCACTAATATTAGTGTTATTTGGCATTTTATTCCAAACATCAGCACTCATTTTAGTAAATACAGATGAAAGTCCAGCCAATATCCATGGTTTATATTTATCATTGACCTACTCTATTTTTAATAAGGTTAAATTGAAATATAATTTGTTTTATAGTATATAATTATAAATAAAAAAAACCTGCTGCTCCCGGTTCATCAGATTTCTTAATTTTTTCTAATATGTTCAATATTTCCTCTTGCTTATTTAATTTAGTAATAGAATTTATTCCATGGGTCTTATGTAACAACCTGTGCTTTTTTTACTTAGTTATTGCACAGGATTGTACGTCAGACACCGTGAAATAATATAATTATTGTATAGATATATGAATAACCTGTGGCCTTCAGCCACAGTTATTTACTACATATTCATGCAATAACAAGTATATATTAACTCTTTTATTTTATTAGAAATAGCCTTATTTCGAATATTGCTATGTATTATAAATATACATATTACATATTAATTTAATAAATATAATATTTCATAATTAAAACTTTAATAAGAAATTACTTACCGATTAAAATGAACTTGGCATAATTTATAGATATGCTTTAAATGTTCTTTACATGATAAGTGACTATACTTTGAATGCAAACATTGCCCGAGGCCTATTTAAATAAAACATATTAAATTATTCAAAAAAGTACGGCAATTGGCGTCCCTTCTAATAAAGGGCATTAAAAAAAAAATTTAAATTATAAATGCAGTATATAAATATTGTTTGATATATTTACCAAGTACTTGTCCTTGATGTTTGTCTGCTATTATATAGCCTAATTCACGGGCATGAATGTGTTGAAATTCAAAAGGCTTTTGCATATCTTTTTTGACAATATCGAATAAATCTTCGAATAAATATTGATATGCTTTAGCCGATTAAAAATTTGTAAAAACCTGTGCAAAAACTAGCGCTATAAAAAAATGTGTAATTAAATATATATCATATTATTATTAATTTAATAATCAACAAATTTACCTTTTTGATAATGATAAATGTATGCACAAATTTCCCACTCATTTGTCGCGCCGTGAATTCTTTTAAATGACATATCAATCTCAATATATAATGATTGAGAAAGAAATTCTGATTGTTCTATTTGGGCACATAAAACGAGATATTGGCCATTATCAAGAAACTCTAAATTAAATAACTTAATTAGCTATATTTTAAATAATTTAATACTGTAATAATTTAACTTAATTACTTACTAACTAAACAAATATATAGATCCAGTGATTTTTTTGT